AACCGCTCTGTAGCATCTGCAAATAAGGTTTTACTGAAACTGCAATGAAGATAAATACCTTCACCATGCTGTTTCTTTAAATATCAGTGAAGGGAGTACTCCTGACTGCTTGGACTGCAAGCACTGCAAATATTTCCTTAATTCAGGAAGGTCTAAGAGTGAAATAAACAAACCTAGGTCCCATTTACATTACAAAGAGCTACTATACTGCAGGAACTGGCTACAGCACAGGAGCCCAAGACACAATTACTACAGTTCAGCACAGGAACACAGCTCAGCCCCCTTGGTGGGTTTTTGCTGGCCCTCATGCTGCCATTAGAAGTGGTCCTTGCCCCGTGTGCAATTCTTGTGTTTCTCTGGATCAGAAAAATTGATCGGTTTCTCTCTGGCGCCTGGGCTGAGCTAAACGCCAAACGACATTAGTAGCGAAGGTAAATCGGGTTTCTAAAGTGCACACTTGTAACAGTCAAAGGGGTTAATAGTAAAAGACGATTTGTTTTGTGAAAATTATTAACTTGACAGCGGTCTCTTTAAAATAAATCAGTGTCTTCATTTGGCCCAGCCAAGGGGTCCTAGGTGGGGAGGTGATCGCTCTCCCCTTTCCCGAGGATGGAGAGATCCCAAGGGCCCACAGCTCCCCCTTCCCTTTGCACAGGCGACGAGACGCGCCCCCCGCATTCTGCGCTGCAAGGGTTTGGCTGCGCTGACCCTCCTTGGTGGGACAGCCGGTCCAGCCCCACCCTGCAGATCAAGAGACAACGATCTCTTACAGATGGCCTGCTGGCACAGCAAGCCTTCTCCAGAGCCTCACCTGTACTCCCTCTCCTGAAAGAGCCGAACAAGACTGGATCTGCCAGACTCTGTCCCGGATTGTGTGTAGGTTCAGTCCCTCGGCAATCTCTGAAGCAGGGGCAGCCGTCAGCAAATCCTGCTTGTTAGCGAATATGAGCACGGGGACTCCACTAAGCTTTTCTTCATCCAAAAGCTCAGCCAGCTCCTGTATCGTTTACAAGGGAGTGGGGTGGGGGGAAGATGGAGAGAGGGAAGGGAAGAAAACCTTCAACCACCAGTGGTTGTCTCTAATTAGAAATATATTTAGGGCAAATGTTAGAAGAGTGTGTTCCAGTGAAACCTAGATCTTATTATAAGAGAGCAAAAATGTATACAATCATCTCTGCCCGAAGTTCAAAAGCTATTTCTTCCAATTACAGGTTACAAAAATCTTCATCTTGGTCTGAAATTAGCAGTTGCCTTAAAGGCTACAACTCTGTGTTTTACCAGTCCCTGCTCCCAGGAGACCAAAACCGATGAAACAGCAAAAAACATGTAAATTGGCAGTATGAGGAATCTGTCTTAAGTTATTGCCTGACTGGCATTTGTACCTCTGCAGCCGTTGACACCAGCCCTGATACCTTTGCTAATAATGAGTTTCAGGGTTTTGTTCCAAGTTTTATATACTGCAATTTGAGCGGGAGAGGACTTTTTTTTTTCCCTCAGAAATGGAAATGTCCCTCCCACAAGAAAGTGCTGATGCTTTTGAAGGCATTGGCTAGCTGAAGACAAGCTAGATCAGCTTTACTAGCTGGATTTTGGCTCCATAAGCACAGCACACATTGGGTGGCATCTTGAGAAATGGGTTTGTTCATTCAAAACTGGGTGACTCAAAGAGATTCTTTTAATAGCTCAAATCTGAATCTGCAGTGGATCAACGATGGCTGAAATACTTCATGTCTAGGGTTGTGCAATGGCCTCATGTGAAACAAGCACACAGTCTCAAGTCACTTCCCTATGTGAACATATGAGAAACCCAGCAGAACTTGAACCTGTAGGGACTGCTGGCGTTGCAGAGAGATGAGTACATGAGATTTTTGTGGGCTCCTTATTTAGCTGGAAAGGTCTCATTCTCTCAGATACTGTCCTAACATCTTTCATCCGCTGGCTAGAAACTTTTGGATTAAATGAGTGCAGTTGGGGAGCTGCTAAACTGCAGTGGAAATCTGACTCCATCCCCCCAAAAGCGACGTTTGGTTTGGAAATCAAGATGAGAGGATGGAGTTATAAACAGAGTTGGCTGGGAATTTTTCAACAAAATAGGTCTTTCATCTGACATGGCTGACTTATTGAAACCAAAAGTGTTTGCGGAAATATGAGGGGTCCAGGCTGACTCCGCCTGACTTGGGCAAGTGCTCTAAGCTTCTGCTTCCTCTCCCTCTCTTTTGCCCAATGAATATTTAATTACTGATATAAAATGAAATAGCTCCAACAGGGGAAAGATTTCCCCCACCCCTGGAACAGCTAACGGTTCTGCTGTTAGGGTGTGTCCATGATATTTGAGAGGCGAAAGATCAAGTGCTTCCCTCAAATCAGGCAGAACAGAGGGCTTTAAACTAAATCTCCCATTTCTGGGGGGTAAATCTGTTGCTAGCTATTTTGGGACACTGTCACTTTCTGACTTCTACAAAACAAAGTTCAAAAGTCCTATTTTTGTTCCATCCTAAAACACAAAATATTACAGAACATCAAAACTTTGCAAAACGGAAATCTTATTTTCTGGCCAGTCCTAGTTACAAAGTTCTTAGTTTTTTTTCAATTACATCCAAAAGACAATCAAGTCAATATGATTTCCATTTCAACTTTGTAAATAAGAAAATAGGATTCCTCAGGGTCTTGGTTTGGCAAGGTTTAAAGGACTCAGAGAAGTTTTTGCTTTCAGTATTGGGCTCCATTTGCTATTATTGTATAACTTAACGAAAACCGTTCTATTTAAACAGAATTAGGCTACCTATTTTCCTTGTTTCACATCTACCAAAATAATCTGCATTGATGTTGAAAGGCAAGTCTCTTGAAATGCAAATTTCCCTCATAAACAACAAAATCATCTTCCTAACTTTTGTGAGCAAGGGGCACTCAGAAGAACTGAGTTACTTCAAAGGAAGCTGGGCATAAGTAACTTACCTGACCCGTTTCTTCAAACCTCTTCCTATCTGCACTGTCAATGACATAGATCTGAAAAAGAAATGAGAGGAAAAGTTACTTTTCCCAGAAGACACTCTTCCACAGTACCACGTGGTTAAGTGAGATGAGCCTAATAATTATGCTTTTGGGCACAAAGATGCCCAGTATTATTTATAGCAAGTGTTGACAAAACTTCATGATGTTCTGAAAGGAGAGTAACCACCTCTTTTAAAGCTGGAGGGGTGGACAGCCATGTGGGTGAGATCAGAAAGGAGCTGGGGGCAGTACTCGGGATGCTCTTACCATCTCCACAGCATCTATTATCTGAAGAGAACAGGAGACTGCCTGGTATCTTTTCAAATGACTGGCTTACAAGCTGAAGCTGAGCACAGCAGGGCAAAACCAGGGGAGCCAGATATGGTCTTTCACCCCAGCAAACAGTGTACAAGCACTGCACTGGTGTGACTATGCCATGCTGCCCTCTAGCAGGACACATCACCTCCTCAATAAGGCACCAAGGCACACAGTGGCACTCAGGGGACAGATGAATATACCGGGGACATTGAGTTCCTCTCCATCAGGTGATTCTACTGCAACCTCCTGGTGGCTGGAGGAGGGCTGGATCCAGCCTGTGAGACTCCATCTTCAGCTCCCAGCTTGTCCACCAGGATGATGGAGATGACAGGGAGCCACTGGCTCACAAAGACTGACAGCAGAGTCCTGCCACCCTCTCAGGGCTGGGCACCACATTTCATGGTCCATGAGGTGGTCCCAACCAGACACCTGTCCCCTGGTATGGAGAAGGGCGGATTCCCGGCCTGCAGGCTCCCTGCCTTGGGAGGGGGTCTCCACCCTCTCCAAGCAGCATGGCACGTGCCAATTTCTTTCTGTAAATGCAAACGAGCCTTCTCAGTAAAGGCAGCTCTAGGTCTGCACAGGCTAAAAGGCTCCTCAAAGGTCCCCCTAAATATGTAAGTCCAGCCACCCTAGCAATGCTATTGCAGTTCAGAGCACGCAGGTATCAAGCTACATCTAAAGAAACGGAGAACATCAGCATAACACTCAAGCAAGAATAGCCTGGTATCCCTTTTTCATTACTTGGTATGGGAAGGTTTTTGAAAAAGGACGCTGGGACAGCAGACAGGGACGGGACTGGTGACAAACACTGAGCATTTTGCTTCCAGTCCCTGCCATGCCCCATCAGCAGTGATTGAAGCTGCTAGCATGTCATCTGCATGCTCTTTGGTGGCTTACAGGGAGAAAGTGTCAGCCTGGTTTTCAGGGAATAGATGAGCACAGCACCCCACCATCAAGATAAATAGCATTCTTGCAGGCAGTCTCAGCATAAGACTCCATGCTTCCAGAATAATTTCGACCAAATAGTAGGGGGAGGGAAGATCTCTAGCAGCAATATCTATTAAACGGTAGGCAATCCCTTAAAGAGCAGTGTTACAGTTGTTTGAAATGGGACCAAACACACAGCAGGAGAATCTGTATGCGAGGCCTGAGGAGGTAACCCAGCAACCTTGCAGACCTCTCTGCTGATCCCCTGGGGTCCGTGGTCCTGACGGGGCCGCGCTGATGCACACTGACAGAGGCTGGGGGACACGCGGCAGGGCTGGACGCAGCTGCGTGGGGATGCGTCAGCACTGCACACGCTCGGTGCCACGTGACGGGGAAAGGCCCGTGAGCACGGCGTGACACACAGCCTCTCCCCACAACGTGATCCCGTGCATGTGCACCAATACTGTGTCAGCTACACCCATCCTCTCTGACCCTCCCAAGCATCCACCCCTGTGCACTGGAGTAGGAAACACAGACGAAAAGAAAGGAAGAAGCTGCAGGGCTGGCAGTTGTGCTCTGGGGTGAAACTGGACTGTCATCTGTCCTCCTTCGGGACATCTCAGGGGAAGCTTAGCAACACATGAATGCAATAGCCGAGTGCTACTTCTCAACTGAAAAGCGGCACCTCCCATATTACGGTGCTTCTCTAGCTGACAAGGAAGAACTCTGAGTCCCAACCAGCCAGGCTTTCTCCTGCACCACTCCGTTCCTTGTTAGGGAGCTATTTTGCAAGATGAGAATTGGAGACAACAGTGCTTGGGGCAAAAGCCACAAAAGCACAGCACAGAGAAGGTAAAGTATGTGCGGAGTGCCTGCTTCCAAACCAGAAAGCACTGTGCCAAATAGCTGCAGGTGCCTGTCTGAATATGCAATCAGCCAGATATCCACACCTTATTTGCCTGGGTTAAGCTTCCAAATATCACAGGTGTGTGATGCAAGACCAAGCTCTCATTCAAAGGCACCTGCATAGATTTGAATTTGCAATCACTTCCTGCTTTTAATACCCTTTAGAGGGTCCTTTCTGCTTTGTGCAATATAGTTCAGGAGAAGACAGAAGCAGGGGGTCCTGGGAACTGTAGCGTATCTCATCTCCACCTTCTATGGCCAGGGCCACACAAGAGCCTGTTTCTGGCTGCGGTACCTGGTAGTGCAGCTTGACAGTTTGAACAGCCATTGAGTACACCATGTTGGAGAAATGGAGCTTGAGAAAGAAATTGCTGTAAAGCTGTGTGCCTCCTTTGAGCAACAAAACAAAACGTGGAGTAAGTGGGTTGGGCAGAAATTGCAAGTGGTGGGACTGGATGAAGACAAAACATGAGGAATAAGTTGGCTCAGTTTACAGAGGCACAACCTGCACCAGGTTAGTCAGAGGGTAAAATTACTGGCTAAAATGGGGGTGAGGGCTGGCAGAAGAGAGAGAAAGTCATCAGCATATACCTGGTTCCAGTTTTGGTGTGTGTGGACATAGCAAAGCACTGCACTAACATGCTGACAGCTCCCAGTCCAGGACTGGGTGTCAGCATGGGGTGCTGGCAGGGAAGCTCAGGTCTATGTGCTCACCAGTTATTCCCTCTGAATTCACACCACCGCTTCCTCCAAACTGATTCTGCTTCTATCTACCCATTTTCTTACTCGTATGAAAAGAAAGGTTTTCTCTGTACATTGCTTTAACTGGGGTGGGAGGACGGCAGAGAAAACAACTGCTTTTATCTCCTTCAGTCTTCAAACTCACCTTTATTTCTGCACCTCCCATGCAGCACACACTGGGAAGGGGGGAAGCCCACAGGCCAGCGTAGCTCGTTGCCTTTGCCAGCAGAACCTTCCAGGTATTGTTTTGTGGTTGCACAGTCTCTGCAGCCTGAGCACCTGCCATAGCAGGCAAAGATCCCCTAGCTGCTGCTCTGCAGTGTTGACTTTGATCTGCACGCCTACCGCCTCCCCACCACACACAGCTGCAGAGCTTGGACTCAATGGGCACAATCACCTCACAGCTATGCCAGATCCCCCTTCTTGATGGCCACAGAGGAGCACACAAAGTGTGTCCTGCTAGTTTCTCAAACCCGGATCTTTCCCCTAGGAAGACCTCACCATTACTCTTTGCAAAAGCAAACCACCAGGTTTATGCTGTGGTGGCTACCCTCAAACATCAGATTCCAAATTAAGGCTGAAAAAGGCAGATCTGCAAAAGAGATTATTGAGGGCTTCTTAGTCCCATTTAAATGGCAGCTTCATTTGGACAATGTTTTCTAAACCTGCAGGCACAGCCAGGCCCTTCAGGGCCCTGACATGAGCCTTGGAGTAGACAGTCCTATTCCTAGTTGCACTGATCCTTCTATGGAAGTGCACTGCAGCTCCTGACACATTACTGAGTACGTGTGTGTGACAGGAGGGAGGAAGGGCGTCTTTCCGAGAGAGCTTCCCACTTTCCCATGGGAGCCCTGCAGACCTTGCTTAGAATAGCCTTTTCTCTGTTCCCACAGGCAACATTACTTGGGGTGGGGAGAGCCCTGGAGCCCCCAGCTTGCCTTCATCCTGGCACACGTGGCTCCATGTTAGAGGTGATCTTTGAAACTAGTCAGGACAGCACTCGGAGGGTCCCAGGGTAACGTGCTCTGGCATGGAAACACAAAGGTCCTGCACTGTAAATATAATTGTAGTCATCTGTAGCTAATTGTAAGGTAATCACAGCTAAGTTGTCAAAAAAATTAAAGGACAGTCTTATGATTAAAGGAGCAAAAGAGAAGACAAGGAGTCTCTCTGTGTCCCTCAGCCAGAAGCTTTCCTATCTGATGCCAGACATAGCATTTAATTCCGCCGTGCCTCAGTTTCCCCAACTAGAAAACAAAGGCACCATACTGACCTACCTCTACACATCAGCTTAAGTCACTAATGCCCATGACAGACCTTCAGAGTCTCCAGTGAAAGGAGCTATAGATGGGTAAACTACAAGTTATTAATGCTCTTTCATTTGAAGGAGACTGAGATGAGAGGAAAGGAACTGGTTATAACCAGCACCATCCTGTGAAAGTAAAAACATACAACTGAATGATTTCTCCAAACATCACACTGTATTTTTCTTACTGCACCCAAACAATCTTGCCATTTCACTCAGAATAACTCCTGTTACAATGGCAATGGTGTTGCTGAGGACTGGGACATTACATTACTTGTTCCTAAATTTCTGGCTGAGACCTTGGAAAGCCATTGCATGAACACAGCATTCAACTGCAGCCAATACTCACAAGGATATCAGTGTTTTCAAAATAGTTCCTCCAGTACGGCCTGATCTTCCTCTGTCCACCTATGTCCCATACATTCAGCTTGAAGCCTTGAGACTGTACGCTTTTGATGTTAAAGCCCTGGAAAGAGCAGAAACAAAGCCACATAGAGCATAAAACTGAATGCCTGGATCATGTGCATAAGCAGACATTAACACCTTATATATCCCATGCCTGCAACATGCAGTGAGATGGGCTGGGCAGCCACAAAGATGGATCGGCTGTGGGAGAGGTGCTGGTGAAAGTGAACACAGCTGTCAAACCATCAGTTTGCCAGTGTTCTTGGGTCAAGGGTTGATGCTGTCATGGCTACGGAGACATATGATGCAGTTAGTGCCCTGGGAGGGCTCAGCAGGGTGGCTGCAGGAAGAGGTGGGAGAGCTGCAGATAAGGAAGAAACAAGGGCACTGTGAGAAGCAGGACTGAGCTAGTGAAAGCTGAGTAGAGAGTCCCAGCTAACACGAAGTCAGAGGTCTCAGCTCAATTCGACACAACACAGCTAATGCCGGGCTTAAAAGAGCAACAGCTGCACATCTGAAGGGTCCATTTCATCAATTAGAGCACCAATTGAAAGGGCATTCAAGTAGAAAAACAGGATGTGGTGTGGGCTGGCAACATGCTGCCACACCACCCAGGGGACTGGGGCTTGGAAACGGGGTGTAGGGGCTGGGAGCTTTGGGAGGCAGCTGCGGGGTGGGGGGAAGCATCTCCCGTAGCTCTCTAGCAACCTCCTCTGGTCAACACAGGAGCGATGCTGCAGTGTTTCTTATGGGAGACATCCCTCATCCCAAGCCTGAGGCTCAAAGAAAGGGGACCAGAGGCATCAGAGAGGGAGTGCTGGAATATGCAAGACCCTTGGAGCTGGCTGGGTGAAAGATGCAAGGAGACATTGCTGCATTATCCCCTGTACGTGTCCCCTGTTTGGCAAGGAAAACAGGAACAAAGTCTCATCCATGCAACCCTAGCATGACCCAAAAGTCTTCTGCAGAACTCCATGGCATTCATCCACTTTTGCACTACTTGACGTATCTGGCCTGATGCTCTCTGGCTCCTTCAGGAAGCCTCCTCTTATGCAGACAACACACAAACTTAATGGTGCACCAGGCTCCAGTTGCTCCCCCTTTTACTGAAATGCTCTGCTGAAGTGCTTGTATCACAAGGCAGGTGGGACCACAAGAACTGCCTTGGGCAAGGAAAGGCCTTCCTCACCTGTGTTGGCGTGATATGGCTGATGTCCTCAGATGCCAGCTGTTTCAGGAGTGTGGTCTTGCCTGCATTATCCAGTCCCAAGAGGAGGATTCTCACCTCCTGGTCTGGGGCGCTTTTCAGTTTACGCAGGATTGACAGTAAACCCTAAATCCGCAAGACAGATCGTAGCTGTTATTTCCCCCTCTGACTCTCTCCCCCTACCATGCCATGCCCTCCTCCCTTGAAATGGGTTCTGTATGGCAGTGGATCCCAGGACACCTTGAACCCCTTCCTGCAGTCCCTATTCCTATTTCCTCTTCTACTCCTCCCCCTTGCCCCGATTTTCCTTCATCTCAGAGAGTATCGACGAGGTCCCAGACAGCACAAGTGTCACTCAGTGGGGTGCACCACTGGCTGCATTGCTCTTGTCACACAGCTGTTTGGCACTGCCTGTGCCAGGAAGACAGTGCCTACAGATATCACATGTAGGAGCTGCAAAGCAAGTCCTTGCAAGCTCTTCATTATCTTTATCAGAGGGAAAACCCCATTAATTTAATCTCCCTCCTAGTTAACTGCAGGTTACTGTGTACCTGACATCAGTTCTTTTCATAGTAACTCCCCGATCATCTCAAACCCCGTTTATCTGTCTAAAACATGCTGGACCCATGGGGCACGTGCAGTTCTGATTCTCAGGATGTAGCACTTCACAACTATCTCAGATCACCACACATCCTTGCTAAGAAAAGCACAGTGGATTTCAGTCATTAGCCAAGCTCAGCTCTCTGAGCTGACAGTATCACTCAGGATTAGGAAACAGAATATGCAGGTCAGCTCATTTACAACCGCACACGTTACAGCAGCACACCCAAGCTTTTGTCAGTGCCACCACTCAGAGACCTGCGCCTCTCTAAAATGGCTGGAAAAATATTCTGGATCCTGGCACGTAACAGAGAGACACAGATCACCCCGCTTTCCCCTGCCTCTCGCTGCCCAGCCCGGCCCCACAGTTGCAGCCGAGGGCACAGGAGCAGGCTGCGAGTCCACGACTGCCTGGGTGTCCTTGGACACATTGCCGCGCTGCTCTGCACCCCCCTGCTTGGCAGGGACTGCTCTTCAGAGCCTGAGCAGCGCACACCACACTGAGACCCAGCCTGGGGACACAGATGCTCTTGCAACTAATTTGCCTGAGCAAATTCGGGACAGGAATACACCTACAGCCCTTTCTGGAGCCCTCAGGACTCCTGCTCAGTCTCTCCCAGACAATTCCCATGCCCTGAAGGACAACAGCGAGGTATTTCTCTTCAGCCCACTAAGACCCAGAGCTGGGAACAAAGTTCAGGTATCAGCACAAACCCAGGCCCATCTCAAGCTTTTTTATTCTCCTGTTTGCAAAATGGAGACAATCCTTCTTGTCAACCTGCAAGGGTGAATCAGTTAAATGTCATGAAGTGCTCTGTTGCTATGAGGAACTACACCCTCTAAA